ATAAAATGCATGAAAATGCAAAATCAAATAATCTAATGCCTACATGAATATTGTAGTTAGATCCAATTTTAAGATTTAGTAATTCACATTTTAGCGTAATCCATCCAAATAGAAGATATATTAGTTGGACAAAAAAATTTAGCTAGGGATTCCATCCCTAATCGTGCCCTCAACAATCAAAACAAATGTGATAACTGATATAAAGTCCAACCAATATCGCGCTCAAGTTGCCATCCTTCTCCAACAAAAATGAATTTTGATAAAGCTATCAAAAAAGTCAAGGTAGAAACCCTTAGAAACCTTCACAAGAGAGGGAGAAACTCTCATAAAAGAGGTGAAAACTCTCACCTTTAATCTACCCTAACCATTGAGGAGAAAGAGACAACAATACCTAAGGGATTAGCTTCAAAACTCTTAATTAATAATTCAAGAGTTGCTTTGGTGAGTGGAAGGAGGTTTAGATCCCATAGTTGGAGAAGGTTGATTTTCCCATAGAGCTTGCATAAAGACTTCCATATAGCTAGTAATGTTTAATTGGTGGTCTTTTATACTTGGTAACCATATTATTGGCCCTGTAAGGCTTAATCTATAATCACTAGTATTAAGTAGCTTCTTGTTATTTGTCATTGAATAATTCGTTTATTGGTGTTTAGCACCTTGGTATTAGATGGATGTTATAAGTTTAATTCTTGTTGCCTGAATGGCTACTATTTAAGGATTATAATTCATTGTAATATCTAGTTCTTTATATATTAGTAAAATCACATTATTTAATTATTATAAAAAGCATTTGGGAATGGTAATTACTTATCACTCTTCTAAATTTGGCAGTTCATAACAATGAAAAAAAAGAAAAAAAAGAAGAATACATGTTTAGGGTCCATCTTTATGTCCATACAAATAATTGCTAGGGTTACTAAAAAATATGATAGGTGTGTTTGGTTTGACTATTAAGAGCAACTGAAAGCTATAACTATTAATTAATAATTGATAAAATAATTAATATTTACTATTTAACTGTTTGAAATTACCTTATAAATTAATGTTTTTAAGTATCTTAACTAACTATACACTAATAAATTTAAACAAACTAAATTATAATTTT